TGTTCACCAAGTCTACAGGGGAACCAGAACCCTAGGGAGATGCGCAGCCTTAGAAGAACCGAGTGCCTTGAGATCCAAAGGGCAGAATTTGCCCAAGAGCAAAGTTCAGGAGGCGTGAACATGGGAAACTGAGGAAGGACTTGATAGCCGAAAGGACTGACCGTGGGTGCGAATTGTTGAATGGAACCTCCACCCAATTCACCAGAAAAAAAGGAGACGTGTTTTAAAAGGCTGGGAGTTGGAAACTTTGGGAGGTTCGTGCATTCACGTGCCTGGCAATGAATAATGGCTCTTGTCTAGGGCCTCCGCTGGGGCCTCCCAACTGGAAAGCCTAGATCCCGAAGCCACAGAGCCTCCCCAGATGGGCGGGGAGAGGAAGGAGACTCCACTCCTTGATGGACTGTGGCAGCATTCCCCATCGGAAGAACTTGTGGGCTGGGGAGATAACGTGTGGCCATCTCCAGGCAGTGTAATCTGAAACTGCAATCTGCTACAAGAAGAATTTGGCATTTGAATCCCACACTCAGCCCGGCCCAGGGAGCCCCAGCTCTGCGAATGCCCTGAGTGCAGGCCCCGGGACTCCAGGCAGAAGCAATGACACATCTGCTCTGAAGAGTCATGCTTGTGTGGCGACTCGGACCTCTCATGATCCCCGCAGGGGGCCACGTATTCACAATCCGAAACAGCAAAGGGAATGAGGAAATGACCTACTGTGGGCAGGATGACCTACTGTGGGCAGGATGGGGTTTAACGGCTACTAGAGAAAGAGGCCCCTCCCGCTGAGACCCTGGCCAAGGCCTTGCGAGCCAGCATGGCCGGAGGGGCAGGGAAGACAGCTGGTGGCAGCCAGGGCTGCGTGTGTACAGGGAGATGGGGGGTGGGCATCTCTTCCTGACCCAGCGCTGACTCCCGCAGGGAACTTCCAGGCCGGGGAGGACGGCCGGATTCTAAAGCGGTTCTGCCAGTGTGAGCAGCGCAGCCTGGAACAGCTGATGCAGGACCCCCTGAGGCCTTTTGTGCCAGCCTACTATGGTACGGTGGAGCAGGACGGCCAGACGTTCAACCAGATGGAAGATCTCCTGGCCGACTTTGACGGCCCTTCCATCATGGACTGCAAGATGGGCACCAGGTGAGGTTGGGGCACTCCTGGGGGCCCGGGCAGAGGGTTGGGGTGGGCGGACTTGAAGCCAGCCCAGCACACCTTGACCTCAGCAGCGGACGCAAGTTCCAGGGGTCCCAGATTCTTGGTTTCAGTTCTCCTCAGGTGGTCCAAGAAGTTGACCTTTCCGTACATTGGCCCCTTGGAAAGGCCTTTCTGAGAAGGGTCGGAGTGTTTTGCCCATGTGCCTATTGGGCTGCCTGTCTGACTTGCAAATCTTGATGTCGTCGGAACACAACTCTTGTGTTGGAGAAAGCTCCCAGCGCCAAATCCACCGACGCAGGGTCCAGCCCAGCTCGTAACACAGCTAGAGCCGCCAAAGCACCAGCCTTGTCGTTCCTCCGTGGAGCAGCTGGGGCTTCAAACTGCCGACCTCGGGCCGAGCAGCCCGGCCACACCACGCCCTCCCTCCTGCTTTTTCACTCTCGGTGGTGTCATTTGTTCAACGAGGTGCTTTTGCTTTCAGCATAAACCATGCTTTTATTTTTCATTAACAGATCATTGTATGGGGACACAGCTCTTGTCACAATCCAGACACCGCTTGCGTCAGGCGAATTCATACATATGTTGCCTTCATTCCTTTCTACACATTTACTTTCTGTTGAGCCCTTGGTATCGGCTCCTCTTTTATTCCCCTCCTCCCCCTCCTCCCAGGTCCTTTTAAAACCAAACAGATAAGCAAAGCTTCTAGTCTAGTTTGCAAAAACATTTATCTTTTTAATCATGAAGAATACTCTTGCGTCTAAGCAATCTTTGCCCACCCCAAGGTCCTGGAGACACGATGTTTCCTTCCATGAGCTTTGTTTGCACATTACTTCTGCAGCCCGTCCAGAATTCATTCTAGTGTACGGCGTGAGGTCGGGGTCCGGTGCCTTGTATTTCCATCTGGCTGTGCAACTGACCAGTCCCTGAGCAACAATGTCTTCTTTGCCACCCCCCGGGGGAGGGTGCCCATGCCTTGGCTGTGGCTTCTGTCCTGTGCCACTGGTGTATTGGTCCATCTTGAGTCAGTAGTATGCTGTCACACTCCCATATGTCTTGGGTACACCACTGTGCACAACTCTGGCATTGTACTTCCTAACCACCCTGGTCACCTCTCGTATCCCCAGGACCTACCTGGAGGAGGAGCTGGTGAAGGCACGAGAGCGGCCGCGGCCCCGAAAGGACATGTACGAGAAGATGGTGGCCGTGGACCCCGGGGCCCCCACCCCCGAGGAGCATGCCCAGGGCGCAGTGACCAAACCCCGCTACATGCAGTGGAGGGAGACGATGAGCTCCACCTCCACCCTGGGCTTCCGCATCGAGGGCATTAAGGTGAGAGCCTGCGTCCAGAGGGCTTGGACCAACCAAGAGCTGACCTGACGCCCCGCCCAGCTCCTCCAGGAACATGGGCAGGAGCGAGCGGCAGAGAAGGGAGAGGTGGAGCTGGAGGGAGGCTGCAGGGGCTGTGAGGGCCAGGGCGGGCCCTGTCCTCTAGTCTCGGTCCCCACACAGCAGCTGCTGGGACCCCACTCTCCTCTACCTGGAGGGAGCTTTCTTTTCTCCCCTGGTGGACTAGCTGTTCTCAGGAGCCCTGATGGCGTGAGGGATGGTGGGACCTCATTGGGCTGCCAACTGCAAGGTCCACAGCTCGAAGCGACCAGCTGCTGCATGGGGGACAGGCGAGGCTTTCGACTCCCAGACACAGCCTCAGAACCTGCTGGGGCCTTCTGCCCTGCCCTTTGGGGTTGGAATTGATGGCAGTGAGTCCAAGTTCTTCTCACTGGTCCCTCGGGGACACCGTTCAGCACACCCAACAACGGAAATCCCACTGCCATCAATGGAGTCCATTCCCTCTCAAACCTCCGTGGGTGCAGCCAGCCCCGTTTTTCTCCCTCGAAGCAGATGTTGACTTTGAACCTGCGATCTTACCAATGAGTAGCCCACACCCCCACCAGGGCTCTTTAGCTCCTACGGAAAGGTTAGCTATTCGAGAAACCCACGAGGTTCCTGGTAAGAAAGGCCTAGTGATGCTCATCGTCAACCAGAAGCTGAAATCGTATCTGCTAAGAAACTTCTCCCCCGACCCTGCTGGCCTCCTGTTCCCTTTCTACCCACCACCTGACTGCCCACGCCCACGGCCAGCAAGTGGACTCCAGCTCAGGGAGACCCTGTGGGGGGTTTCTGAGACTGTCGGTCTTTGAGGGCGCAGCAGCCTTGTCTTGGTCCCAGGGGGCAGATGGTGGGTTGGAACCAGTGACCCTGAGGTAAATAGCTGCCCGACAGCACCACTGGGGGTCCTTATGGGAAACCCACTTACTTGTTCCAGGGGTTTCTTTCTGCCAAGACGGGCCAAGAAATGCCCTTGTCTGTCTGGGGTCTTTCCTCACTTGAGTGCTCCCTGGTTCATTCCTTGCATTTTTCACACCACCATAAGCTCTCTCCCCTCTTGTCTCATCCAGAGCTCCCCTGCCCCCTTCTTCATCTGAGGGGCACTGTCTTTGTGGCAGGACTGCAGGCCCCTGTAGGTGTCTGCCCGGGCAGTTTCCTTCGGTGCCTCGGTGACACTGCGTGTACACGTGCCATTTTGCGAGGGCAGAGTTTGCGCTGCAAACTAGAGCCGTAGAAGGACTGCTGGGACAGCGCGCAGCAGCACTGGAGACCCTTGGTGACGTAGCGGGTTACCAGTTGGCCTGCCAACTCCAAGGTCTGCAGTTCAAAACCACTGGCTGCTCGGAGGGGAAGCAGAGAGATGAGGCTTTCCCATACGTTAGAGTCACCGCCCCGGAAGCCCACAGGGGTGGTTTTACCCTGCCCGGTAGGGTGCTATGCACCTGCACCGAGTCGACAGCAGGGAGTTTGGTTCAGAGTTGAGTAAGCAGTGCGGGAGTCCCACTGGTAACCAACCGGCAGCCCGAGAGTGGAGAGGGGTGGTCCACCCCAGCAGCCTCTCCCGGCACCAAGCTGCCAAGTCTGACCCTGTTGCTCCCCTTCTCAGAACCTTTCCACGGCTCCCTGGTGCCTGCGGGAGGGGTCCCTAGGTCTGGAGGGCTGTTGGTCTGTGCATCTCCCACCCCTTTTCCCTTCTCTCTTCAGGCTGCAGGGCAGGCGCTCATTTCCTCTGGAAGGTTCCACTCAGGCCTTTCCCACCTCCGAGGGGGCCCTGCCCCTGCGGACTCCAGTTTCCCTGTCTCCTTTGATATTTCACTTCCTCAGGGAAGCCCTCCCTGACTGCCCCCCTCCTCAGCCTGAGCCCTGGGGGCCTCGCCTCCTCTGAGCCCTCTGCACCTTCCTTACTCCTCCTCCTCCTCCTCTGAGGTGGTTTATAGGACACCAGTCCCCGTCTGACAGATCTGACCCACAAAGCCACAGTCCTCCCGGGCCACATGCAGCGTCACCTAATGCCCGTGCCAGCTCCAGGAGGCACACGCCCGCGCGGTCCCCGCTGTCCACTCGAGAACACCGCGCCGTGGCAGAAGGGACTTGGGGCGCACACTAGGAAGCAGCGAGTCACAATTCAGCCAGGTCCACCCCCCATCCTCCCCCTTCTCAAACCCAAGCCCACTGCCATCGAGTCGATGCTGGCTCACGGTGACCTCTAGGACAGGGGGGACCCGCCCGTGGGTTTCCCATACTGTGAACGCTGTACGGGAGCAGAAAGCCTCGTCTTCCCCCTCGCGGTGAGCAGCCGACCTCGTCACCCACTAAGGGAGCCAACAGGCGCCTTCGCCTGGCTAGACTGGCGTCAAAGGACCGGTTGCCCAGGAGGGTGACTTCTGGCGGGGTGGGCTCGTTTTCCCAGAACAGCAAGCAAGCTGGAGGCAGCTTGGGGGTGGGGGGGGGGCGGTGTTCTGAAGCTGCTCTGGGCTGGGGGTGGGAAGGAAGAGGCCTGATGCGGACTCCTTCACTGGCCCTTGCAGAAAGCCGACGGGACCTGCAACACCAACTTCAAGAAGACCCAGGAGCTGCAGCAGGTGACCAAGGTGCTGGAGGACTTTGTTGATGGAGACCGTGGCATCCTGGTGAGGGGACCTGACGCGCTTTGAGCCCGTCAGCTGTTGCCGTCTAGCAGACTTCCCCCAAAGGTGGCAGCTTAACCCACCACTGCTCACCACTGCCCCGAGGTGGGCAGTTTGCCCTGGACAGGCCTTGACTGATGGGGTGGGCTGCCGTCAGCTGGCTGGAGTTGGCCTCACCCTCGCATCTGACTGTTGGCCCAGCATGTTGGCTCAGGGCTTGGCCAACGCCTCCCGTGACCCAGCAGGCTGGCCCAGGAGTGGTCTCTTTGTGGAAGCATGTAGCCAAGGGAATGAGCAAGGACACAAAGCCACTCGTGCCTGCACTCAGAAGGCTGCTGCTGTCCACCATGTTCTGCCGGCCAAAGCAATGGCCAGGTCCATGTTAAAGCCGGCAGTCACCGTGCCCTGGGCCTGTGCTCTGTCCTCCGGTTTCCAGAGGCTTGTGTCCCGTTTGAGCCTCCTCTGGGCAGATGGACTTGAACCTCCCACTCTCTGCTCACCAGCTGAGCTCCTAACCATCTGCACTACCCAGGGCCCAAGCCTGGCGTACAGGGGACACTCATCCTACCCCGTGATGGGAGGGGCGCCAGGAACTGTGGGACTCCCTGCCATTGACCGTCCTCTGTGCCACCCTCTTCCACTTTCCCCATAGCTCCTCAAAGCCCATCCTGCCTAGCTCCTGCCGTCCTTGGGGATAGGGGTCAGGGTCAGATCCCACAGTGGGTCAGCCCCACCGAGTCCCCGTTGCTAACCAGGAACCCCTCCCTCTCGCAGAGGAAGTACGTGGAGCGCCTGGAATGCTTGCGAGACGCTCTGGAGGACTCCCCCTTCTTCAGGACCCATGAGGTGTGAGCCCTGGCCAGCAAGGGAGCTGTTGGGGGTAGGGCAGGGCAGGGGCGGTTTTTTCCCAGGTCAGGAGACCCCATGCTTTGGAGGGGTTGTCTGTGGTCAGCAGCAGAGGGGGGCTTCAGAGACATAAGAGCAGTTAGGGTGGGCAATGGGCCCCTCAACGGCTGTGACCTTGGGCCCTCAGCTTTGCCCTCTCTCCCGGGAAGCAGCACAGCAGTCCCCTCCTGGGTCCATGTGGGACAGGGGAGGTCCTGGAGACAGTGGGTGCTGGAAATTTGGCTCAGAAAGAGGGAGGGGTAGGAGTTAACCAGGGAGAGGAAGCAGCCAGCTATTGCTGGCCAGAGGGGCCAGAGGGGCTGGTACTGCCTTTCCTACTTGCCAGACAGGGAAACTGAGGCCGGAGGAAGGAAGCCACTAGCCTGTGGTCGCCACCAGCAGTCCTCTGGGCAGGCTAGCTACTGCCCATCTCCATGGGCCTCCTGGGCTTCTTCAGCAGCCTGTAGGCATTCTGAATTCTAGCCTTTGATCTGTGCCAGGTACTGGCCTCAGAGCCTCCGAGGGCCAAGTCAGGGAGCCTTTGAGGTCAGTGCCGCCCAGAGAGGGCAAGTCAGCTGCCCCAAGGCACACAGCCAGTGAGCAACAGAGTCAGGAAGCCATCTTGTCTGTTGGGGAGGGGACTCACCACTTCCCTTTCCCTGCAGGTTGTGGGCAGCTCCCTCCTCTTTGTGCACGACCACACTGGCCTGGCCAACGTCTGGATGATAGACTTTGGCAAGACTGTGGCCCTCCCGGGCCACCAGACTCTCAGCCACCGTCTGCCCTGGGCCGAGGGCAACCGCGAGGATGGCTACCTCTGGGGCCTGGACCACATGATCCGCCTGCTGCAGGGACTGGCCCAGAGCTGACACATCTGCCCACCACCACCTTTATTTATTGGGGGGTGCAAGTCAGCTAGGGGTGCCCCAAGATGCCATGGGGGCAGAGGTGGACAATGGAGGAGCCGACCTTGGGGTGGGGAGAGGCTGTGCTGTCCACCCCACAAGACCCGTGTGGAGAGTCTAGGGGGCGCCAGCCCTTCTGCTCCACAGGGTGGGAAGAACCCGAGAAAGTTCCTGATGCGTCAGTCAAACCAGAACTGGGTCCCAACAGCCAGGGGGCTGAGGGGGCTGCCTTCAGAGAACACAAGCCCCACGTCACTGGGTGCACCTTTGATGGTCACCGCGGCCCTGGCAGCTCTCCCTGGCTGAGCAGTCCCTCCCTGGATCCCCAGAAGACCAGCATCTATCCTGTGAACTGCCGGGGAGAGGCCACCCTCTGTATTTAGAGTCCACTCTGGGCTGAGCTGAGGAAGGTATGGCCACCTGCAACACTGCCCACGGGCCCTGATTGCTGCCAACACTAACGGGGGTCCTTCCAGGCCCCAAGGCACTACCTGTGGACCCCAGCCACAGCAGCCTGAGCCTCCAAGCCACCACTGTGACCCAACAGCCCTGTTCCTGGGCCCCACTGTGGCCTCCGGGACTCCCTGCCACCACCCTCCGTGGAAGTGGAGGACCCCACCTGGGGCGTGCCAGGTTCCCTGGCCCAGAGCACAGCACATACTCAGGCCCCGCTGCTTCTGGCACCTGCCTTAGGGCCTCAGGGCGGCCAAGGGGGGCAGCCAGCACCTACCTCTTCCCTTAGCTGAGGGATTCCCCCCCTGCTCTGATGACCTGCAACTATTTATCAGGGCAGCCGTTGTCAGGGGTGGCACAGTGGGGAGTGGGGGCTGTGACAGGAGGCAAGATGGCACCGAGACGCCTTCCCTGGACACCACGCTGCAATAAACGGGCCCTCGGTCAGCCAGTAGTCCTTTCTCTTGCATCTTGGGGTGGGGGCCCGGGCTGCGCGCCACAGCCTGCGCACCAGGGACTGGGGTGCCCAAAAGGGAACCTGAGGGGTGGGATGGGAAGGGGACAGACACCCAGAATTCCCAAGGGCTTCCAGGCCAGTGGGCAGGGTCAGGAATTGTCCCTTTTTACTTCCTCACCCACTCGCTAACCTGTCCTCTCCTCTGCATAAGTGAGCACTTTGCTGGGCAGTGGGGGTACAGCAGACTCAGGGAGACCTGCCTCTCCCCATATGGAGCACCCCATCCAGTGGGGCCATTCCCCCAAAACCCAAACCTACTGCCCACTGAGGAGATTCTAACTTATGGCGAGCCTATGGTGCAAAGTGGACAGTTCCTGGGGGAGGCTGGCGGAACCCTGAGGGGGGAGCCAGGGGTTTATTCTCTCAGAGCTTCTGGTGAGTTCAAACCACCAACCAGCACTTAACCACTGTGCCACCAAGGGCTGTCTGTTCCGCAATGAGGCCACCACACACGCTCAGGTACAGACACATCTGTATGGAAGCAGGTGAACACAAGCTGAGGGGGGTGGGGGTGTTGATGGGGACTCAGAGAGGCAGAGCTATTGGCTGGTGCTGGCCTGGGCAGCAGCTGCCCATGCGAGGCCTGCCCCGGCCCCGCCCTCAGGCAGCAGTGTGGCCTGCGCTAGCTGCTGCTCCAGGCACGTGTAAAACGTAGAGCTTCCACGGCACTCGCCTGGTGAGATGACAGTGGGCTGACTGTAAGTGGGGCTCGCCCAGCGGGAGACCTGACACAGGCGTGGTCAGCAGTGGGGTGAGGGGCTGGGCAGGGCTGGCACCGTCCTGCGCTCTTGGGATGAGAAGGGGTGTGGGGAGCCCACGTGCGGGGATGCAGAGCAGAGGAACCTGGCTGTGCCCCAGAGGAGGCCAGGCCCACTTGTCCACACGGGGTGGCAGAGCGGGCTCTGGTGGCGGCTGGCTAGCAGCCAGCACCATGCTGTCGAAGGAATAGGGCCTGGCCACAGAGGCCAGCCTGCACCCCGCCAGGGGGCACCACGTAGGACCTGCCGTCCTCGGCCCGGGACGGCGAGAAGTCTGTCAGCTGCAGGTTGCTCTCCTGGACCTGCTGGTAGTCCCACAGCTGGTAGTGCCAGCTCTTGCCCTGCTTAGAAAGCAGGTAGACAGTTCCCAGGGAGCCGGCCTCTGGCAGGGGGGGTGGCTGACAGGGTGTGCCGGGCACCGGGTGGAACAGGCCTGCCAGCTCAGGGTCTTCAGTGTAGCCGGGACCCGGCATGCCTGGTATGCCTAGCAGGACCCCTGAGGGGAACACAAAGGACACTGAGCGGGACTCGCTCAATTCCCCTACAGCCCCCATACCAAGTTAGTTACAGGGACTCTAGCAGAGGGGAGGGGTTAAGGGCTGGACTGGGGCCCCCCCGGGGCGGGGAAGCCAATGTTAAGCAGAGCACACACCACAGCCACTCCATGGAAGGCGGGCTGAGAGGGGACCCTGGCTCCCGCTCCTTTCAGGAGGGCAGGGTGTGACAAGTGCTGAAGAAACTGCCTTAACCCCTTTGGTATCGGGGGAGGGTGGGGGGCGGCACCAGCCAGCTGAGCGGTTCACACGCCCTGACTCAGGGCCACACCACCTTCCCCAGTTTGAGGTGAAAACTGTAGCCCCAGAGAGGTGAGGCTACTTGCTTGGGGTCCCAGACATGGCTGGGTCAGCCCTGGAGCATTTGGGTGCTGGATGCCCAGGCTGGGCTCGGAGTCTGAGTGCCAGGTGCCAGGCCCTGCGCCTCCATGGTCCCTCGAAAGCACATGGTGGGGGGGTGTGGTGCCCTGGGACTGGAGGGGCATGGACTCACCTGCACTCACTGCCCAGTGGGCCTTGTGGCCCTTCCTCTGACACGGTGCGTGGTTGAAGTCCTCATCGTAGCTGGAGCTGGTGCTAAGGTCAAAGCTAGGGTCTGCAGCTTGGCCCCGGGACCCCGGACCCCCACCCAGTCTGGCCGGGATACGGGATGAGAAGGGGCTGTCCGGAGATGAGGTGCTGCAGGATGCGGTCTCTGTTGGGCCCGCCCAGGCCACCACAGAGCAGCTCAGTGTGGCAGCCCAGCACCTCCTGGGCCAGCCTCCCCATGTCGGCCACTGCGAGCGAGCACAGACACACGGGGTGGGAGGGGCGGGCGGGGGCTCATTGCATGCCAGGCCTCCTCAGCCTCCACCACGCTCACCAGCGCCTACACAGGCGCAAAAGATGAAGCACGGAGAAGGGAGACTGGATTCTGCTTGCGACCCCTCCCACAGCTTGGAGGTGTGCGCTTCAGAAGCACTCTGCCATAAAGGGCTCATCTCGGACGTTTGCACCGCCCCCGGCCCACGCACAGCGGAGCCCCTCCTCCCATCAGCTCACCTGAGAACATCTCCCCCTGGGCAGTGTAGCCCCGCTCCAGTGCCACCTGCATGAGTCTCTCCAGGGGGACACCACTGGGGGGCGCCAGGAGGGTGCCAGCCATCCACAAGGCCACCAGCCCACACCTGCAGAGAGAGGGGCCCCAGCCCCCACCCCCAGCTCCTTAGTGACAAGACCCCCTGCCTGCCCTAGGGGAGTTGGCGTTTAGATTCATTTCTTCACCCAACTGTTGTTCACTCCCTCATTCATTCCAAGCCCCTGTTCTCAGCGCAGTGCCCCTGGGCCCACTCCTGGCTGGTCCCCCTCCCGCTCTCAGGCTGCTGGGATCCCCTCCCAGCCTCCCCTCAGAGGAAGCTCAGCATGGTCAGCGGCCGGGAACACCTACTGGGGGCCTTCTTGGATGCAGGAGGGCAGGTCCGCACAGAAGAGGATCCATCGCAAGTCTCTCCTGAAACTGGACCAGAGCTGCCCGTCAGGTGGACGGCGCCCACACCACCCTCCCGGTCTAGATGGCAGCAGATGGAGGCCAGGCCAAGGCAGCCGACTCCCTTCTTCCCCGAGAAGGCCCTGGTCCTCTCCAAAGCTCATTTTCTTGGGTGTCCAGGCAGCACCCCCCCCTTCCTCAGAGACTGCTGGGGGAAGGGAGAACATGGATGAGCCGAATCTCTCCTCCAGCTCCTGCTCGCCAGTGCCGTTTACCAAAGGGTGTGTGGGTTGTTACAGCTAAAATGACTTAGTATTGAAAATGAAAAGTTACTTTTACCCACTCGGAACCAGTGGGTTTCGGAGACTGTAACTCTTCACGGGAACAGAGAGCCTCATCTTTTTCCAAGGAGCAGCTGGTGGTTTTGAACTGCTGACCTCACGGCGAGCAGCCCAATGCCTAACCACTGCGCCACCCGGTCTCCTTAACAGCCTTACTCAATCTGGACTCATCTAGGCTCGTGGCCTAAGGTCAGTCTCTGATGGCCTGGCCAGTCTCACCTTTGGGGAGGCCACTGGAGGACCTCCACCTCCCTGCACCATGGACTCAGAAGAGGGCAAAGCACCCAAGCCTGGGTTCGGGGGAGGCCGTAGGGGACACCAGGGCTCCTGGCTCCCAGCGTGGGACTTGGGCACAGGAGGACTGACTATAGGTGTGAAACCACGCCACCCAGCTTCACGGCAGGCTGGTCCTTGGCTCCCTTTTGGGGCTCTGTCACGCCACTGGCCCCTGTGGGGCCCACCCCCAGCGGGTTGCTGACCAAGACAAAGACAGGAACAGCTGAGGCCCCCTGGAGAAGCGCCGGGCAGGTCCCAGGCACACAAAAGCAAGTGGCAAGTTGAACTGACTGCAGTGTGGTGGGGGCTCTGAGGACAGCAGACACACCGGGCAGGTCCCAGGGCACACAAAAGCAAGTGGCAAGTTGAACTGACTGCAGTGTGGTGGGGGCTCTGAGGACAGCTGACACACTCCTGAGCTAAGCCTGGCCCTCTCTGCGAGTCTGGGCAAGTCATGCCCCAAGCCCCACCCCAGCCAGGCAATCAGTCAAGGAGGGTTCCTGTCCCCTCCTGCCCTGCCCCCCCAGCCATGGTCCAGGGTCCTCCTCTCCAGCTGGGGTGCCCCAGCTTGTAGCCCCCACAGGCCATCTCTTAGCATGCAACTAGCTCTACTGCACGGCTCCCCAAAGACCTCAGATAGACAGGGTGTGACCCGCTGGACAAGTCCCACCAAGCAGCTTCCTGTGTGATCTGGCTCCTGCCACCTCCCTGTCACGCTCAGGATCGAGTGGCAGTTCCTCAACAAGGGCAAGTCCTCACGTCACGCTGGGTCTGGACACCAGCTGTCTGCTCGGCCTCATCATGCATCCCACTGGGGACTTGCTCAGTAACACCCAGGGTTCCCTTCCTCCAGGAAGCACCCTTGGTCCCAGGCTGGGACAGGTGCCCCCCCACCCCCCCATTCTGGGCTATCGCTGTTTGGGGTCCGCTTCCTCTGGTGAGAACAGAGCCTTCTTAGTGGCTGCAGAAACCCTAATAGGAGGTCTGGAGGCCACTGCACACCCCAAAAGGAGCCGGCTGGTGCCACCTAGGGACAGGCGGTCTGGGGCGATGCCTGGGTGGGGGAGGCAGGGGCCCTACCAATCCTTGTGTAGCTTCAGCAGCCTCTTCACGTCCTCTCTGCCAGTGGGGACGGGGCCAGCCTTCTCCAAAGCCTCCTTCAGGAGCTGACTCTTTTCCAGGCCGAAGACCAGCGGGAGAGCAGGCCCAGATGATGCCAGGGGTGGAGGTGGAGGTGGAGGTGGGGGCGGCAGGGGACCAGGGACCAGGAGGCTCAGGGGAGTCTGCAGAGACGTGACATCGGGGGTACTTGGAAGCAGTGGAGCAGGAACGAGGGAAGCCTGGGCTTCAGGGGCTGGGGGTTCGCGGGGACAGCCCCGAGATGTCATCTTGGAATTTTGGGAACAGCTAGGTGGAACGGGAAAAGGGATAGATCCTTTAGAAGGGGGTTGGAGGCTGGCCGCAGGGGGAGCTGAGCCCCGGGATGAAACAAGGCCCAGCCTTGAGTCTCGGGCAGAGGCAAGTCCTGAGGGGTCTGCGAGTTACTAAGGTCGGGAGGCTGCTGATTTCGTTGACTTTGCCATCTTACAAAGTCAGGTTTTTGTGGCATGGGGCCCCCGGGGCAAGTGACTAGTGGTTCTTACTTTGTCCAGGTCAAGATTTGGAAACGCGGGAGTTAATCTGGGGATGTGGGGTGTGACGTCTAAAGGGCGAGATTTGGGGAGCCCGAGGGAAAGGCTGAGGGCACCCCGTTGGGGTCGCGCCCTACCTCCTCGGTCGCAGCGGGTTGGGGTTGGCTTTTCCCATCCCCACCCCCACCCCCACCCCCACCGAGCTCAGCTTGGGGCTGACCTGAGTCAGAGGTCAGAAAGAACCCCTAAGGGACAACTGTCTAGTTGCGAAGGTCCTATAAATACTAAACGGAAGAAAAAGCCTGGGTTCGGGAGGGCTCAGGCACGAGAGTGGGAAAAGCGCCGACCCCCGGGGGGAAAAAAAATCAGCTGAGGAACCAGAAGCGCCACCCCTCCCGCAAAATGGCGACCGCGGCACCCAGCTTTGTCGTATCACGTGGAAGGGACTCACCACTTGGGCCCGCCCCTTTCACAATCACGTGGCAGAACGCGCAAAGGAACGAGAGGTGGGACTTTCAAATCAAGGGCCGCCGGAAGCGACTCCGGAGCGAACCGCGGCTCGATTGGCGAGAAGCGCGTGAGGGGGCGTATCCCTCACTGATTGGTCCACAGGTCCGAACGCAGTGGAAGGCTGTACCGTTATTCTGCCTCGGCGGGAACCCTAGCGCCGTTTTGATAGGCTAGGTAGTGGCCCAGGGCGGGACTTGACGTGATTGGTCAACCTATCAAATTTCCGCACACGGATTGGCTGACAGAAAGGGAAGGGCGGGGGCCGAGAGAGGAAGCTTTGTAGTCTCATCTCAGCAACTCGGAAGACGCTGCCTGCTGGAGTTCTTGCCCGGTCGGTGAGTAATCTCGGGCGGAGGTGGTCATCGACGTCGAGCGGCTGGAGCGAGGTGGAGTGTACGCCATCCCGCACCTCCTCTTGGGAAACTTCCTCGCCGCACGGGGCCAGGACGCCCCAAATTTAGCTCGCCTTCCCTAACTGGCTTTACATCCGGGTGTTTTCTCTTGGGCCGCCTTCGGGCGCGCGGGCCAATGGGATTCGCCGCTTCAGACGCTCCGCCCACTGGGCCCCGTGAAGCCTCCTGGGACTCGTAGTAAACCCTCCAGACTCGCCTCAGCACGCGGGCCGCGGTCCCCGAGTTCTCTTTCGCGGCGTTACCCAAACCGCCCCGCCTTTCTTTCTGCACTTTGTCTAAAGAGTCCCAGATCAGCCGCTAAAGGGGCGTTGGGACAAAGGGTTTGGGGCAACCCAGGTCTCAAGTCGCCCTTTCCTTTCGTCAGCGCTACCGGCCTCGGCACCTCTACCTCGCTCCATGGCAGTTCCCGAGACGCGCCCCAACCACACTATTTATATCAACAATCTCAACGAAAAGATCAAGAAGGATGGTGAGTTCCCGGGAGGGTCGCGGCGGCAGCCTGCCACCGCGCGAGCTGACCCTGCCACCCATCACTCTTCCCCAGCCACCCTCCCCGTCAGCCGGCCCCTGGCCGCCGCACGTGCTGTGCCCGCGCCCCGTGGATCCTCCGCTCCCGGAACCCTTCCCCGCGCAGGCCGTCGTAGGCCCTGCCCACCACGCTGGGCTCTCAGGGAGGGTGCTTCCCCAACGGCCGTTGGTTTGGGTGAGGGTACCCCCTGGGGCCCTCGAGGTCCCTGCCACCTTCTCAGTGGCAATGCACCCCAGTGAGGGCCCTTTGTATAAATCTCGACTGCGTTTTGGTCTTGCCACAGTGCTGGTGGGTAAACAAAAACAAGAGACGATTCCCCTTTCCCAGATGGACACTTCGACTCGAGGGTGACTTGACTAGCCCACGGTGGGTCACGCAGCAGGGAAGCGTGGCGGAGGCCAGCAGTTAAGGAATTCTGCCGAAGTGTGCGGGACACATGAGACCTCTCTACCACCTTGAACAAGTCAATGCCTATCTGAAGACAGGGCGCCTATAGCTGCTCTGCAGGGGCGTTTGGGGGGCGGGGAGTGAATTTGTGACTTAAGTATACACTTTTGCTTTTTATGGTACCAAGAGGGTTGGTGGGGAGGGGGGGACGTCTGGATAGCAGGGAGCTCACCTGGGAGAATCTCCGGAGTGGCTGGAATGAAATTCGCAGTTACTGATTGAAGCTGCTATGGAAGAAACTGAAGACAAGGATGGTGGCTCCGACATTTGCTTTCAAAGCATCCTGTCCAGCCATCTAGGTGGTGAGGTGCTGGGGACGTAGTGGTGATCGAGACAGCCCTAGCCCTCCCTTCAGGGAGCCACAGGCCTGTCATCCAGACGGTCAGGGCCCTCCATGATGTGCAGAAGGACAGGCCTGGGGTGGGAGAGACCATTTTGGAGCAGCTCTCCAGCTAGATAAAGCAGCCCTTGTACCTGACAGAGGAGGAGAGTGATTGTGATTTCGAGAAACAAACAAAAAACAACCCAGACCCCTTTCCCCGGAGTTGATGTTGACCAGTAGCAACCCCACGGGGACCAAGTTGAACCGCTCCCTGGGGTTTCCGACCCTGTACATTTTCACAGAAGCAGATGGATTCACCTGCCAGAGCAGCTGGTAGATTTGAACCCCTCACCTAGTTAGCCCAAACAACACACTGCCAGTGCGTTGATGCTGACTCATAGCAACGCTGTAGGGCAGGGTAGAACGGCCCCTGTGAATTTCCGAGACTTTATGGGAGTAAAAAGCCCTGTCTTTCTCCTGAGAGGTGTCTGGTGGTTTTGAACTCCTACCGTTCCAGATTGCAGCCCAATGCATAAATACATAACTGCTACCAGACCTTTGTGGTAAGACCAAGAAACCTAGTGGTGCAGTGGCGTATGTGTTGGGTTGTTAATTGCAGGGGCAGTGGTTGGGATCCACCAGCTGCTCTGAGGGAGAAAGAAGAGACACACCATCCCCCCCACCCCCCACCCCCGCCTTATCGTGATCCCAGTTCTACTGAACAAATCCGTCTAGACCAGATTAGTAGACCAGGATGTACACGGGGACAGATACAGAGCTGGAAACACTGGGAATCCAGGACAGATAAACCCTTCAGGACCTATAATGACAGTAGAGATACCAGGAAGGTAAGGGAAAAATGGGTGGGGAGAAAGGTAGAACTGATCACAATGATCTACATATAATTCCCTCCCTGGGGGATGGACAACAGGAAAGTGGGTGAAGGGAGACATTGGACAGTGTAAGACATGAAAAAATATTAATAATTTATAAGTTATCAAGGATTCGTGGGGGAGGGAGGGAAAATGAGCTGATACTAAGGGCTCAAGTAGAAAGCATATGTTTTGAGAATGATGATGGCAACAAATATACAAATGGGCTCGACACGATGGATGTATGGATTGTGATGAGTTGTACGTACCAGCCCCCAATAAAATTTTTAAAAGACTTTCTGCTCCCGTTAAGATTTACAGCACATTCTATTGCTTTGAGTTGGAATTGACTCAGTGACTGGGTTTTCGCCTTTGTAAGACTAGCCCTGCCTTTGTTGAGCTAAAGTCCTGCTTGCTGCCCGGGCCAGTTTGCTTGAGTTGGTGGTGCTGGGTTTGGGTTGCCTTGAGCGCCGGTCCCAGGTGTGCCTTGACTTCCTCAGCAGCCCCATGACACTCCCTGTGGGCCAGTGACTCGTGCCAAAATCGTGGGAACGAGAAAACAACCTTTGGCAGAGGCTCCGGGGGTGAGTTGCGAGCTGAGGGAGGTTGTCTGTGCAAAGCACTGCGTGGCGTCTATTCATTTTGTAGTTCGCGGAGAGGTTGGGAGGTTGCAGGACCGAGCAGACAGTGGCTCACACTCTGCTGCCATTGAGTCCGTTGCAGCTCATCGTGATCCCTCAGGATAGAGGAGAACTGTCCCTGTGGGTGTAAGAGTAGAAATGCGTTCGCGCTCTCCCCTAAAAAAGAAAAGAAAAGTAGAAATGCACGCCTTTCTTCCTCCGAGCAGCTGCTGGTTTCAAACTGCTGACCTTGAGGTTAGCAGCCCAATGCGTTGCCCAATACACTGCTGGGGAGCTAGTGTGGTAAACCAACTGGGTGGATAGGCTTGTGGCCTTTAAAAGCAAGAGACAGGTAAGTAAAAAAGGTGGGGTAGGGAGAGTGGTAGAGATTGGTGGGTGAGGGCAGGGTCTCTGAGGTGGGTCTTCGGTCAGACAGGCAAGCATCCGAGGAAGGGTACTTCTGGCAGAGGGGACCATCTGCGGGAAGGCCCTGAGGTGGAACGGGCCGGGAGGCTAGTGTGGCGAGGGAGGAGTGATGGAGCACGTTTGGGGAAGGGAGCTGCGATTGAGGAGGTCACCCAGGCCATTTGTTGAGGTGCTCAAACTCACCCACTGCCGTCGAGTTCGTTCTGACTCCTAGTGACCCTATAGGACAGCGTAGACTGTCCCCCTGTGGGTGTGTGAGGTTGCCAATCTTCACTGGACTGGAGCAGAGCTGCTGGTGGATTTGAACCGCCAACCTTGTGCTTAGTAGGCCAAAGCATATCCCACTAAGCCACCAGAGGCAGACAAAGCAGCGCTTCTGTTTGCTGACCGTGTGTCAGGCCACGGGGCTTCTAAACCAGTGGTTCTAAACTTGTGGGTCTCGACTCTTGGGGTTCGAATGACCCTTTCACAGGAGTCGCCTAAGACCATCAGAAAACACGTATTTCCAGTGGTTTTAGGAACCAAGACACACACACACAAGCTCTATCTGTCTCCAGGCGGGTCCGCCCACATGCAGATACGCCCACCTATGAGTACCCGGTGTGAAGACTTACCCATGCTACACCATGCTTTAAGACAAAATGTCATTGATTTGGCGTTAGAAATAAATATTCCACAACATATAACTATAGTGTTTTTGTGATTTATCACTGTGCTTTAAATATGTTCCATTTGTAACCATGAAAATACATCCTGCATATCAGATATTTACATGACGATTCATAACAGTAGCAAAATGGCAGTGATGACAACGAAAATGACTATGGTTGGAGGTCACCACCACATACGGAGCTGTGTTCAAGCGTCGCGGCGTGAGGAGGTTGAGAACCACAGCCTGTATGAGCTCTTCAGCAGCCCCCCATCCCACCGAGCAGCCCACTGGGCTCGGGTGGCTTTTGGTGGCTGCTGTCGCTGTCGTTGGGGGTTTTCTGGCCCATGGCATTCTGGGTGCTCTGCCTTAGCTGGTGATCTCCAGGGCACAGTGCCCAGATCGCTGCTCACTGCGGGCCTGTCCTCCCAACTGCAGAGCTGAAGAAGTCCCTGTACGCCATCTTCTCGCAGTTTGGCCAGATCCTAGATATCCTGGTGTCGCGGAGCCTGAAGATGAGGGGTCAAGCCTTCGTCATCTTCAAGGAGGTCAGCAGTGCCACCAACGCCCTGCGGTCCATGCAGGGCTTCCCCTTCTACGACAAGCCCATGGTGAGCACTGGGGCTCTGATGGGAGCGTTGTGGGAGAGCAGAGGGGCACGGTGGGGCTCTGCGACTGCCGTTCTTTGACTGATGGGGTTCAGGGAAGGCTTTCTGGGTGACGTGATTTTGAACTGGTCCCTTCTTGGCTCAAGTACGGGAGACCGGTCTCTCCAGCCTGGCTTCCTTAGAAGATGCTGATGGCACCTCTCCCAAGACAGGTGTATTTGTTCTTTCTGTGGTGCGGGTACACGTGACATTCTTGAAACCATGCTTCAAAGGCCTCACATCTGCTCTGGCCCTCCATACTCACCACCCAGCTTTTGCACGCAAGTGTTCAGCCCGAGAGCTGGGTTTTGCCCTGAACGGAACCTTTCATCTCAAGAGTGGAAGATGCCCCTGCCTGCTAGGGGGTGGGACAGTCAGAGAAGGGAGACTAGCCTCGGGCTCCTCCGGTGGGAGGACTTGGGACGGGCCAAGGCAGGAAGAGGCTCGTTTTATGTACGTTGAGATCAAGCAGCCGCCGAGGGGTCTGGTCTGCAGAAGTGAGGAATGGTGTAGGGGGCTCCAAGTAAAATTCCTGGTGCCCCGGCAGCACCGCTGGTTCCCTGGCCCTTTTCTGCTGTGTCCTCGTCAGTTTCCCATTTCATTGGATGGCAGTGTGCCTCGCGGCTCAGCTCCCTTGTGTCCGTGGCAGGTGACCTCCGTGTGGGGAGCATTGGGCCCTCAGATGGCCAGTAGCTGTTACCACAGCCTCTGGGAGTGGGAGCCTGGAGCTGCCATGGCTTCCGGTTGCCTGTCACGTGCAGTAGGAATTGGCACTTGGGGTGTAAAGGGCATCTGATTTTTTCCTGTACCCTGTTGGCCCTATTTTTGTCCCCCAACTTAGACCATATCAAGCACTCAGGCCATCTGAGTTCTGTCTGCTGTACCTTCAAGACAAATCCTCCGTCCGCCACTTGGTCTCCCTGCTCCGCTCCTCCCTCATGGAGCCACTCCTCACCATGGTCCTTCAGCTTCCAGGGCACCCCCCCGCCCCTTGCTCCCTTCATGCTGTCTCCTCTGCTTGTTCTGTGTGTGCGTGAACTGGGGGAGGGTTTTCAGAACACAGCGGGCTTCTGCTCAGTAACACGGACGCGTTTCGTTTAGCACCTTGGACTGCAGTCTCCCCGCGGAACATCACTCGGCCGCTCCCTGCCCGAGGTTCCTGTTTCCCTTCCTCTCTCCTCGCCCTCTGGACTTTGCCCCCTTGGTCAATGCTGCCCCTGTTCTGTTACTGTTCTCGGGGCCTGGCTCTTCCCCTGAAAACTGAGCCCTGGGGCTGGGCTCCTTTTCCAGACCTGCGGCCCCGTCTCGGGCTCCCCCCCACCCCTGCCCCGGAAGCCTGGTCTTTGTATATGATTTTTGAACTTTGTCCCTCTCTCTCCAGGCCCTTCTAATGTGATTCCTTCCAGAGCAGTTGGGGGTGATCCTGCTGATTCTTGAAGCACGGTGGCCACACCCTCGCTCTGTGCTAGAGCACTTGCTCCCCAGATGTGCGCGTGACCCCTCGCTGTGCCCCTCTGCATCAATGGGAACCTAGTGAGGCCTGTCCCGGGCACCCTTTCCGAAAACCTCAATTCTCTACAGTGCGTCCTATCCCCACCACCACCTCCGTCCATTCTTCCTCCTCCTCCCTCACATGCCACGCTGAGTGAGCTGCGGAAAGCAGGGACTTTGGAGTGGGGCCAGTGCTGGGCAGGTGAGGGAGAAAGACTTGCCGGGAAGGCTGTGGGCTGGAAGGCCTGCATTGTTCCCCAGCTCTGGCGGCCAACGCTGCGGGCTTCCACCTCTGGCCGGCCTCGTGCTCTGAGCTGCCTGTCTTCACTGCCCACTCACTGAGCACACGCTCGAGTGAGCTTCCATCCTCACAGCGGTGCTTCAGAAACCCAGACCTACCGCTGTGGAGTGGGCCCCAGGAGAGCTGCCCCCACACTGACAGTGACTGGGGGGGGGGGTTCCTGCCCGTCCTTTGAGTGGGCAGCTGGATGCTTTGACCGCTGCGCTACTGGAGGCCTGGCGACCCCGCAGGGTGGCTCCTGTAGCCCACTCTGCAGATGAAGCCAGCGCTGCCACGCGGTCCCCGTGGTGTTCCTCCACAAGCCTGTGTTCCGCCCTACAGCGGATCCAGTACGCCAAGACCGACTCGGACATCATCGCCAAGATGAAGGGCACCTTCGTGGAGCGGGACCGCAAGCGGGAGAAGAGGAAGCCCAAGAGCCAGGAGACCCCCTCAGCCAAGAAGGCTGTGCAGGGCGGGGCTGCCGCCCCCGGGGTGGGGGCCGTCCCGGGGCCTGTCCCGGTAAGTGATTGTCCACTTCACCTTCATTCCTCTCAGCCACACGGCCTGGTCGCAGCACGTGGCGGGAGGACTTCCCTTGAGGGTTGACCCCTTCCATCCATCCATTCATTCATTCCGTGATGCGGGTGTTAAACACCACACGGCGGGCGCTCCGCTCAGTGCCTGGCGCTTTTTTCGGTGGCTCTGTCTCTTGGCTCCTTTCTTGCTCCTCGGCGCTGATTTTAGTCTTCCTTGTGAATCAGGAATCAAGCCCGGCTGGGTGAATGGGTTCCACACCAGGCTGGCTGTGTGAAACCACCACCAGTGGGAGAAAGGTGGGGCAGTCTGCGCCCGTACAAGGCTCCAGTCTCGGGAACCTGCCAGGCAGTGCTTCCCTGTCCCTCCATGGCAGGGAGTTGGTTCGGGTGTGTGGGGAATTCGGAGAGCAGAGTGAACGAGCGCCCTGGCCAGGCCAGGTGGCTTTTGGGGATGAGGTCTTGGGAAAGAGCTAGCCAGGGCAGGTCTGCGGGGGTGGGGGCTCCAAAAAGCACCCGGAAAGACGAAATGGAAAGAGAATGGAGTTCTCCCAGACTTTGGGATACCCCCTGTTTGCCATAGCGACCCTATAGGATAGAGTAGAACTGCCCCTGTGGGTTTTTGGGGATGGTGGGTTTTTACAGGAAAGGAAAAGCTCATCTCAGAACGCTGGTGATTGCAAACTGCCAGCCTTGCAGTTAGCAGCCCAGCGCAGAGCCCGCTGCACCACCAGGGCATAGCACTAGACGGTCACAGGGTGAGGTGGCGGGATCCCTTTTCCCTGAAGCCCCCAAACAGAGCTAAGAGGTGTTGGACGCTGCCCGGACAGTGGCTAGCTGGGGGCCCCAGCGTTGCTAGGATGTCACTTTTCAAGTTCACTTGTCATTCGATGTGGTTCCTGCGGGTACCGTTGGTGGAAAGGGTCTGTTTTTCAGCTATCTGGGCCAAGGCAAGGCCCAGGCTGGCAAGTAGAACAAAGCTAGAGGGACACCTTGTACGCATCATGAGCAAGCTCTAGTGTGGCGTTGGGGTACAGAGGAGAGAGACTGATGGACAGGCAGGAGTCCACACAAACCGCCCTCCAGCGGCCTCTTGACTTCGGGAGCCGCTGCAGGTCAGTGCGGCCAAGAGGATTCTTCCTTCTAAGGTGCCGTCGGGCCGCCGGCTGCCCTAGGAGGGGGGAAAGGAGCCCAGTCCTCGAGCTAAAGATAGAGCGGTGTGAGAGGACTCACAGGCCCCCGTGTGACTGCTAAGGCGAGGAAGGTTCTAGAAAACAAAACAGGAAAGTGTCTCCCTGACACTAGTGATGGCAGGAACATGGGAAACATCCTGTTTTCTAAACAGGATGCAGAAAGCACAGTGGGAGCTATCACGAGCACCCCACCCCACCCCAGTCACCGGACCGGACTCGCTGGGTTAGTCTCGCTGATTGGAGCTGGCTTCATGTGTCCCGCCCCACATCCCCACACGTCAGCCAGCGCCTGGGCTCCTCGCCTGGCTTCCCCACTGGTGGGGCCCAGCTTTTCTGCCCACACCTGACTCTCCAGGCTCCGATTCCCACTCGCCCTTCCACTGTCAGTTTTTCTCTGGGTCTGGGCCCGTATCCCTTCCCCACTGAGTTCCCTTGGAATGAAAGTACCCCTGACTGCATTTCTAGCAGATACAAGAGGCCTGTTGGAAGTGGGTGTCAAAGCCATTGAAAAGAGGAGATTTCCGCAGCTTGCTGAGGGTGCCCACCCCCCAGTACTCTCTAAGTTTGGGCTCCCTGGCATTTTGGTGTTGGTGTTTCTGTTCATCTGTGTATGATCAAGGTCTGGTTGTGTTGGCAAGTGTTCTCTTGGTTTCTCCCCTTCCCTTTGGTCTGCTCTGGGTCTTCTGTCCGTCCCTCTCCAGGTGTGTCCTTCCTGCTTCCCTCTGTCCCGTCCCAAGCCTGGCTCAGGCAGCGGGTCTTCCCCCACCCTGTCTGCCAGCCGAGTCTCAGTCTCGCTGCCTCTCCCCGCAGGGCATGCCACCCATGACACAGGCTCCCCGCATCATGCACCACATGCCCGGCCAGCCACCCTACATGCCTCCCCCTGGCATGATTCCACCGCCCGGCCTGGCCCCTGGCCAGCTCCCTCCAGGAGCCATTCCTCCACAGCAGCTGATGCCAGGACAGATGCCTCCTGCCCAGCCGGTAAGTATCTAGCGGTTTGGGGTTTTTTTTTGGGGGGGGGGGGGGGGGTCTCTGGAGAATCTCGGTGACCATTGGGTGGCCTGGCTGAGGGGGTGGGTTGGAAGAAAATGGAAGTGTCCCAGCCCCTGTTCTCTGGAGGGAACTAAGACTTGTATGTGTGGAGAGTTGGGCTCTGACATGGCACAGTAATAGAAGGGGACTTGGGTCTGCTCTAAGGAGGGGGCAGAGGTGCAAGGCGGGCCTGGGAAGGTCAGGTGAGGGTGAGTGCAGACCCGGGAGTGGGAAGTTGGGGGCGCAGGGTCTGGCACTCCAGCCCAGGCTCTGGGGGCACCGCAGGGACCTGACTAGAAGCATCTCTGGCCACCTGTGTCTCACCGTGTGGTGGTGGGACCCACAGCAAAGGCACAGTGTCAGGTGGTGGTAATCGCTATTAAGAATTTAAACAGGATTCATCTGAGCAAAGGTGGGGGGGGCGCATTCCATCAGACTCCTGTGCTCACGGGCCTGCCCTTTCTTGCATGCAGCTTTCTGAAAACCCGCCGAACCACATCCTGTTCCTCACCAACCTGCCCGAGGAGACCAGCGAGCTCATGCTGTCCATGCTGTTTAACCAGTAAGTAGGCCCGTGGTGGCGGCAGTGCAGGGAGCAGGCCTCCGAGCTGAGCCCTGGGCTGGCTGGCACGAGGGGTGGTGTCTGATGGTGTCGGTGGGGCGAGGCCCATGTTGGCAAGCATCTGGGCTCCACCCGGCTTGTTCAGAAAGGGAGAACCACGGGGGCCTGTTCGGAGCTTAGCCAGCTGGCGTTGGGTACAGCAAAGTCAGCGCTGTGCGCGTGTATGTGTGTGCACGCGCGCTTCTGCTAGTGTCTCCCACACAGCGAGCCAGCCGTGTGCGTGATTATAAGCGGAGGCAGCCTGGGGCCGTGAAGGCAGGCAGGGGCTTCTGCGGGTTTGATTCTGTGGGAAAGGAATAGATGGGAACCTAGGGAAAAGCCCCAACCCAGACTCGGTGCCGTCGAGTCGATGCTGACTCGTAGCACCCCTGCAAGACAGGGCAGAACTACCTACCCCATGCGTTTCCGAGACGAAGTCTTCACAGAAGAAAGCCCCGTCTTCCCTCCCAGAAGTGTCAGTAGGGTTCGAGGCAGCTTCACGGGGAAGTGTAGGCATGGTTCACCTGGAGGGGGCAGTGTTCTGTTTCTCACTCTGGCTGGGTGTCAGGCTGCTGGTTGTGTGGGCACAGAACTATTTTTACGTGGCTCGAGTTTGTCTGTTTACATTAGGGGTTTTCTGCTCCCCACTAAATACCTTGCGGGCGGGCTGATTCTTGGTTGTGAGGCTGTCCTGTGTGTTGTGGGACGTTCAGCAGAATCGCTGGCCTCTGCCCCCTAGGACACAGCAGCACAGCCCCCTTCTATGATCACAGTTTTAAATTGCCAGACATCCGCTGGGGGGACGCAATTGTTCTCGGTGAGACTCAGTGTGTCTCTGCCCCAAACCCACTGCTGAGGAGCCCATTCCAAAGCCTAGCGGCCCTGAGGTCACAGTGGCCCTTCACACTCAGGTTTTGGAGGCTGTGAATCTGGAGAGGCGGGCAGCCTTCCTGCAGAGTGGCTGGTGGGTTCAGGCTTCCCAGCATGCAGCTGCACCCCTCGGGTTGGAACCCGTGTCTGCCCGAGTGTGTCCTTGAAGGTGCCCTTCCCTTTCCTCAGGTTCCCCGGCTTCAAGGAGGTCCGCCTGGTGCCCGGGCGGCACGACATCGCCTTTGTGGAGTTTGACAACGAGGTGCAGGCAGGGGCTGCCCGCGATGCCCTGCAGGGCTTCAAGATCACCCAGAACAATGCCATGAAGATCTCCTTCGCCAAGAAGTAGCGCCTTTTCCCTCTTGCCTGCCCCTGTCTCTGCTCCAGGGTGCCCTTCCCCGCCCCGGCTCAAGCCCCTGAAGGTAAGTCCCCGTCGGGGGCCTTCTCTGAGCCACGTGTGAGTGAATGGTCGCCACACAGCATTGTACCCAGAGTCTGTCCCAGACATTGCACCTGGCGCTGGTAGGCTGGAATTAAAGTGTTTTTGTGAGGTTTGGTTTTTCACAACCGTTGGCGTGTCATTTCTTCCATGCTTGCCCTTTGAGGTTTGCAAACGTGCGGAAAACCAGAGAGCAGTGTAGGGTTACTGTCCGGCCTAGGAGCCCAGGTGGCAGAGGAGGGCAGCATTGGTCTGCTCACTGCAAGCTCAGGATGCAAGTAGACCACCCGTTACTGCGGGAACGGATGAGGCTGTACTGCTCCCTGAAGGTTGACGTTCTCAGTCCTTTAAGTCACCTTTAGGATGTGTGCACGCTCCTAGGTAGGCTCGGTCCTAGGTAGGCTCGATCCTAGGTAGGCTTGGTCGGCAGCACAGCAGGAAGCAGACACCCCGCCCCGCCGTGTGCAGTGGGGGCAGGCTGTGGACTGCACAAAGACGTCTTCGTTAGGGCACACCACGTGGTTTTCTCATCGACTCGAGTGCCCTGAGGGAGAAGCTTTCCTCCGTCTTTTTTTTTTCACGTGTCCCAAAGTGCCAGCTACCTTGGCCGCAGTCCCACCCAAACCCCTCTAGGAGTTCCAGGTGGGCAGAGATGGCACACAGGAAGCTGGGTGCTCATGGGGTCCTTGGGCAGATAGGAACAGCAGTTGGGGCTCGGGACATCTGGTTCAAGTCGACATGCCCCAGATTGAGCCGCAGTCGAGGGCTCAGACAGATGCCAGGCCCCAGTGCCCATGGCTGTCAAGTCAGTTCTGTCTCAAGAGTGACCTGGTGCAGGGTGTCCGGGGCTGTCCAGGGGCAGACAGCCTCACCTTCCCCCTTGGCACGGCTGATGGGCGAGAACCTCCGACGTTGCCGTTGATGCCCAGCGCTTCACCTACAGCACCACCAGGCCTCCTCGTAGCCCGGATGCGCAGGTCCCACAGGTGAAGGTGGCCACCTCAGACCCAGTCTTTCTGACCCTGACATTGAGCACTGGGCTGTAACTGAAAGGAGGGTTGGGGGGCGCATTGGAGAAAGACCTGGCATCTGCTTCTGCAGGGCTGGCAGATGTGCCCGGGCTCATGGGCTGCCTCCAGGTAGAGTCGGCTTCTTGACACTCAGCAGCCCTGGCTCGGCTCGGAGCTCAAAATGTCATTGCTGGCTGGCTGGGCAGCCTGGCATCCAGAAGAGAGCCAATGGGGTGGGGGGCGGTGTGTTAGTCTGGGTGGACTAGAGAAGCAATTCATAGACATATAAAGGGTAAATGTACATTAAGAAAAAGCAGCCCAGTCCAAGCCCTATGTCCAACATTATCCCATGTCTGAAACCGATCTACAAAGTCCTCTTCAGACACACAAAACACATGCAATGACACTGAATGCAGGACGATCACAGGCCAGTGGGTAGAAAGTCTTTGAATCCAGTGGTAGTGTAAGCATCTCAGCATTGGCAGGGGTCTCCATGAGGCTTCTCCAGCACTCAGGGCTTGAAGCAGGAGGAGCAATGAGGCTGTTAATATCAAATGCAGACCCCCTATCCCTTTGGCATTGAGAGGGCACTGGTGCCCATCACAGGAAGTGCAACGCCAGTGTGTCCACCCTGAGGACCGAGGGTCTGGGACTTACGTGCAGGTGTTCTGTGGCTAGGGGCACTGGTGCGGTGGTTAAAGACAAGGTTCAGACTGGTTTGAACCCACCAGCCTGCTCCCTGGGAACAGGAGGACCCCAGGGTGTGGGGGCGCAATTGTGCTCTGCCCCCTCCGGTTGCCCTTCAGCCGCATTTATTTCCTTGTAGCCCTGGCAGTTTCATTAAGGAAGTTGGGCTTGTCCTGATGAGATTCCCACTGGCTGACCCTTTCACAGGGGTCGCCAGATTCATAACAGTAGCAAAATGACAGCCATCAGTGTAAGATATGAAAATAGTCATTTAGAATGTATCAAGGAGTTGGGGGGGTGGGGGGCGGGGAGAGAAAAGAGAAGAGCTAATACCAAGGGCTCAAGTAGGAAGTAAGTGTTTAGAAAATGAAGATGCCAGCATAAGTACAAATATGTGTGATACAATTGATGTATGGATTGTCATAAGTGCTGTAAGAGCCCCCGATAGACTGGTTGAGGGTCCTCCAAACCAGGCAGTTGGCATATGCATCATGGCCATACGGACCCTTGGGGAGACAGACCTTTCATCCAGGGACTTCGAGTGCGAATGACAGTTGTACAGACGGGAATGGCAGTCGAGCTGTGAGACCTCGAGATCAGAAATAGGCTTGGAGGACCCCAAATCCACACCCGTTGCCATCAGGGCAAGTCTGCCTCACGGCAACCCCATCCAGGGGGTTCAAGACTAGCGGCGCCACAGGTGAAGCTGCCGGCTGGATGCAGGTGCAGAAGACATGGAGGTGCCCCAGGCCTAGCTCATCGGACCCTGTGGGCTGGGAGGCTGCAGAAAGTGGTGAAGGTCAATTCTCCTGCAGGCCTTTCTTTATTGACAGCACTGTGGAGCGCTGTGCCGCTAACGGAAAGGTTGGCAGTGTTTTCCGGTACCCAGGGGTACCTGAAATCTCAACTATAAAGTGAACATGTATTAAGTGACTTAATGCCGTCTCTTGAGACTGTCTCAAGAGACAACCAGGACTCGATGGCTTAGGAACGTCATCCAGTGACGGAGGTTCTTGACGGGAGGTCAAAAGGCGTCCAAGAGTCTGTTGAGAGACAGAGCTTCCACATGGACACTGGGAGGGCCCAGGGAGCTGTCACTAAAGCCTGATGGGCGGCAGATCAGGACATCACCATGTGGGTGGGGCCAGAGAAGCAGAAACAGGACCGTGATGGGGACCCGTACATTGTGGGGTGAAAGGGTTGACAAGATGGGTCCAGGACCTGCCAACCAAGGCCAGATAGGACATGACTCATGACTATGGGGCCCCTTGTATGTCCCCAGTACAATGACTTCCATCAAGGACACCCCCAGGCAAGCCCCTAAGAGACTGCCCCTCCGTGGGCTGGCTGGAGAGGGACAGAGGTCATCATTCCCGGCATTGGGAAGATGATATGATAGCTGTACAATTACGCCCATGGGAGCCGAGATGATAACAACAAGGTCGGCAGTTCAAAGTCACCAGCATCCCTGTAGGAGAAAGAAGGGACTTTCTACTCCTCTAAAGAGTTCCCATCTCAGAAAGCCACACGGGCAGTTCTGCCCTGTCCTACAGAGTCACTGTGAGTTGGCACCCACTCCATGGCAGGGAATTGTGTTGTGTTGTTTTGTTTTTCACCTTGATAGAATTTCTTGAATGACTCAGAGTGATCACAAGACCTTGTTCGGAAGAAAACTTAAGAAAATGGAAAAGTGCATTGCTGAGGAAGGGACCGGGACAGTTGCCTGTTTCCCAACCTGACAGTGTGCCCGCCCATTCGCCGTGGTAGTTACAGGCTGTCGACAAGCATGTCTGTGGAAAACCTTACACCGTCTACCCGGCAGCCCCGACCTTTCCCGGGAGATGTCTTTGTAGTCCTCAGACTCCAAGGACATTTCAAAGGAGCTAGACGTGCGTCCCTTAAGAATGCCAAAAGAGCCCTTTGAAGTGGTGCAGCCCCGAGCTCAGAATTCTTCTGAGGGGAGGATGAAAGAGATGGAAACACTCCCTTCGGGAGCATGTAGACCTGGATGGAGGCCGCTTGCAGAATCTATCCCTTCACACCCTGATATTGTTGTTTAATAAAGGCCTCTGTGACTTTGTAGCCAGACTTTTGGACTTCTCTCAAAAAGATGTTTTTAAAAAAACACCACCGGAGCGTGAACACACCTTTCACAATAACAAGTGTCACAGTTCTCTCACCGACTTCAGAACTCAGCCAGCCACCATGTTTTCAATCCCGTACAACCCAGATTTGGATGTTCTTTGTCTGAGTCAGGATCCAACGTGGGTCCCCGTGTTATCACTGACTGAGCTGTCCCTTGAGCCTGTCTTCGAGAACACCCCTCACCCACTTTCCTTCCCCCTGTTCTCCTGGCGGTTGCATTGAGGAAATCAAGTCGGTTGTCTCGATGAGAGTCCCACTGGCTGACTCTCGGTTCTCTGCTCTGTCCTCAGTGCCTTGAATGGGCATAAGAGCCCCGTGAGGCCAGACAGCCGAGGGTAAGTGCCTCTGTAGCCAAAGCCAGTCTCTCCTTCTAGGGGAGAAAAGAGGCCCCAAACTCAACTGTGATTCCTAGAGACACATTTATTAAGTCTAAGCATGATAAAGAGAAGACAAGGACCATTCAACCAGATGAAGGAGGCCTTAGGTTCCAAGGCTTTAGAGAAATCCGGCACTTTGCCGAGGGCCTAGGTTATAAGGCGCACGGTCACAAAAGCCTGACTGGTGGTGGATCCAGGGGCCGAGTAATGCAGCGGTTATGTCGCATTGGGCTGCCATCCTTAAGGTCAGCTGTTCGAAGCAGCGGCTGCTCCTCTGGAGAAAAGGTGGGCTTTCAATTCCTGTAAAGAGTGACCATCTCAGAAATCCATGGGGGCAGTTCTACCCTGTCCTACGGGGCTGCTATGGTCAGCATCCGCTGGATGGCAGTGGATTTGGATTGGATCAGTACATCCCAGGTACAGGGTGGGACCACAGAAAACAGGTAAGGGACCACTGATTAGGACACATACACTCTTATAGGTGGGAACGCTTATAAGATTGGCTGAGGGTCCTCCACACCAAGTACTCAGGATATGACTCGTGGCCATATGGACCCTGGCCCCCCCAATCCTCTCCAGGATACAGGCACGTGAGGTTCTGCGGGCTAGACCTCACCCTGGATCTGCCAGGGGAGAGGTAGTCATCCACTTACGAACACTGCCTAAGGGCAAGGCTTTGAACACAAGTCAGTGGTCAGAAAGAAGTCAATGGAGGCTGAGTCTGTGTGGAGATAAAAAATGAATGTAGGGCTTTCACGATAAGTACAGCCTTCTGCAAGTGGAGTGCACAGGGCGGAAGCCCTCACACCAGATTGGCAGGAGGAGAGATTGGGAACGTAGTGGATAGTTCTGCTTTGTCTTACAGGACCCCCCACAAGTCAGAACCCATGGCCATGGACGTTATCGTCC